GGCTACGCGGGTCCGTGACTGCCGGCGGGCGGTTCCAGCCTCCCTGGCCCACACTCGCCAGTTGCCCTCGACCCTGCCTGCAGCCAGAGAGGAAAGCCCCGTCATCGAGCACTTCGCGTCCCCAAAGCCGGCACTGCCACCTACCAGTCCCCGCCGCCTCCGGATTCCGACCGCCACCGCCTCCCGCGACAGCCTACCACCCGCAGCGCAACATCCGGGCTTCTCGTTGGAGGAGCCCGGCTTGCAACAACAGCCATGTTCATTGGCTGCAGCTTCCCTTCGGCCCTCCCCTAGGTGTAGGGTCTAAGGACTCCGTCTCCAACCAGGAAAACACGTCTTCTTCGTCTTGCTGTCCTCCGCAGCGACTCTTATGTCAGTGAGATTTTGGGCTCTCATACGTAGGAAAAATATGTGCTCCCAGTCTCCCTCGAGTTATCGCCACCTGTTCCAGAATCTGAGCCAGAACCGGAACGCTAAATGTCGCCGCCGTTTTCCTAACGTAAGAAATGCGAAGTACCAACTTCCGCTTCCGGTTGGCTCCGGCTGGAAGGTTGAATACTGAATGTCCTGAGAGGTCAGAGTGCTGTCAGGTAAATCAGGGCGTTGGGGGAGACCTCTGAATTAAGAACTAGCGCTGGAGTCTTGTGGGAAATGCTACACGGGAGGGACTAGGTGGAGAAGGATGAGGTAGAGGCAGTTTAAGAGGGGAGGAGATGGCGGAGCTAGCGGACGGAGAGAGCTCTGAGGTCCAGTCAGGACCCGGGACGTGGGGAGCGGTGAGGGGAGGACGCTTCGGGAGTCGTAGGCCAAGTCCAGTGCTTTCCCGCCTCTGCCTCCCGCAGCCTCCTTGTCCCGAGCTCTTTGGGCTTATATTGAAATCGAATAAAGGCAGACTAGCTCCTCAGCCGAAATATCTAAATAGAAGTAAGTGTATGTAATGTAGGTAAGGTTTATTCCTGGTATATATATTTACTTTACAAAGGTAAAATAAAAAGGGCAAAAACATCTATTAATAGCACTTAACCTAGGACCAGGGAGTAGACCTAAAAGTGACAATACTTCACTTCTTTTTTAAATTTTCTCTTTAGCACTCTACCACAGAGCTACCTCCCTAGACCTTTTTATTTTTGAAATAGTTTCGCTTTTTTTGCCCAGGCTGACCTTGAACTTGACGATCTTCCTGCCTCATCCTGAGTAGCTGAGATAACGGGGTGTGCCACCGCGCCTCGCTCTCACATTCATTAATAGTTGCAGTTTTTTAACATGAGGGAAATTTGGGAAATATACATGAAAGTCTTTGGTAAACTGTGGAATTACGAGTAGTGGAAGTAGCGTCAGTGACTTCTATCCTTCTTAGAGAGAGCACACCAGCACATTTCTGGTGCCAGAGCCTGTCCCCATTAGTAGAAGCTCATCTCCACCAAACTTAACAGATTCACTTCAGACAGGTAGATAGCTTTTAAATTTTTCATGATCACATATTCTTTGTGGAAACTACTTTCCTTGCTGTCCTTATTTGAGCTGCTCCAAAAGTGAAACATTCATGTTGACCTTTCAGCACATTATAAGCCACTTTTTCTAATGTTATTTTTTAAACTGCCCGGCTAGCTCAGTCGGTAGAACATGAGACTCTTATTTTTATATTTTTTATTTTTTATTGTCACATGTAACATGTATGTACACCACAGGAGTGTATAAGACAAAAGTACCTTTTGAAGAATTATAATTAAGCAAATATTCACTTTTTAGGTGAGGAAATAAAACATTGCTAGTAATTTAGAATGCACATTATTAACAGGGGTGTACCCCTCCAAGGGGTGAACATTGGCTGAGGGTGGGAGGGAATACAATGACTTGTGTCTCTCCAAAAGACAACAGTACATAAACAGATACACAGTATATCTTTGGTTTTGGAATTTCATTGGGAAGGGGGAACATGGATAGGAAACAAACACATATAAAATGGCTTCTTAGAGACACAATTAAAAATGGAAAGCACTGCTATGGAAGCCCCCCTTACTCCTGTGATTCCCTGTCCTGACTTGTGACAAGCATTCACTTTTACTTTCATTTTTCCACCCATGATGAATTCCTAGAAAGTGAATTGTTAAGCATTTCAACTTATATAAATGGGATCAATGTGCATTTTTTCTGACCCTTTCTCATATTTGTGAGATTCATTCATACTTTTGTATGTGACTTTTTGCAGTACAATAATCTGTAGTGCGGCTATACTGCAGTCTTTTCTCGTGTTGGATTTCATTACTTACAGTTTAGAGCTAGCAAACAGTTTGGCTGCAAAGATTTTAAAAATGGGCAGGGTGGCTGGGCATGGTGGTGCACACCTGTATCCCAGCACGCGGGAGGCTGAGGCTGGAGGATTGCTGTGAGTTCGAGACTAGCCTGGGCTTCATAGTGAGTTCCAGGTTGAAAAACCAAAAAAAAAAAAAAAAAAAAAAAAAATTAAAAGGGTGGGGTAGGGTGTGGGGCCCAGTGGTAGAGCATGTGCTTAACTTGTGTGAGGCCCTGGGCTCAATCCCCAGCACACACACACACACACACACACACACACACTCAGAACTTTCTGAAACATATCCCTTATACATGCAAGAGTTTCTCTAAAGTAGTGCTGTGTGGAAACATGTGGCGGTGCCTATAATACAAGCACTCAGGAGACTGAGCCAGAAGGGTTGCTACAAGTTCTAGACCAGTTTGGGCTACATATTGAGTTTAAGACCAACCTAAACTACACAATGAGACCGTGCCTCAAAAAAAAAAAAAAAAAAATAAAAAAGTGCTGTCCAATAGAAATACAATACAAGCCATAATTGTAATACTAAATTTTCTAATAGGCTTATTTAAAAAGTTAAAAAAAGAGATAAAACTTTTTTTTTTTTTTGGTACCAGGGATCCAACTCGTGTCCCTGAGCGTGCAAGACAGACAGCAGAACCCCTGAATTAAATACCCAGCCCTTTTTGTTTTGGTTTTGATTTTGGTACTGGGGATTGAACTCAGGACCTTCCTCTTTCAAGGCAGGAGTGGCACCACCGAGTTAAATCCCCTGCCCCAAAACCAACTTTTTAATAGTATACTTTATCTAACCCAACATATTCAAAATTTAGCAAGATGTAATCAATATTGTTATTAATGAAATATTTTAATTTTATACTGTTTTCAAAATTGAAATACTTTACAGAATATCTGTATGCTGTTTTCATAAATACAGACACTTGATCTGCATTGATATTTTGTAATATTTCCAGTTGAGAAAGTAGATATGTATACCAAAATTGTTCCAAGCATACTTTATTATTTCCTAATAACTGATTTGTGACAGGTTTTGAATTTTAAATGAATTAAAGTAAAATAATTCCCAGGCCTCCAGATGCACTTGTCATGTGTGACTGGCTGCAGCTGGGCCAGTACAAATAGAAAGTGCCCAGGATGGGCAGAGGATGTAGCTCAGTGTAGTGCACCTGCCTCATAAGCCCAAGGTCCTGAGTTTGATCTCCAGTAACAAACAAGAAAAGTGTGCCCAGGAATGGGGTTGCTGGCCTCAGGTCTACAGATGGCCAAAGTTTCTAGGTCCTGTCTGTGTTTGAGAATGAATGTGGTCAGTAGCATTCTCACCATTGGGTGTGAAGTGGAATGTGCTTCTCAGTTCCCTTAATCTCACAGGATGGATTTTATCCTCATTATATGAAGAAACTGAAGTTTAGAACAATTAAGTGATTTGCCTGGGATTTTATAGTAACTAATGGTGCAAAATAGGAGAATTCCAGGGGGTATAAAAATGATCAAGATGTGATATGTATATGTACTAATTTTCCCAAGATGAATGTAATTATTATGCATTGCAAACATTACTCATGAAAAAAGGAAAAAAAAGAATTCCAAACTCTTCCTTCAAATGATTGAGATGCCATTGATTTGTGGCTATTCTGAAATAGAAATAATTTTTTTAAAGAAAATGAAAGGTCCCTAGAAATAGTGTTCTTCAGCTTTTTATTCTTTTTTTTTTTAACTTTTTATTCTTTAGGAAATTCCTGTAAATTCTGAACTATTGTAATAACAGAACACATTAATTTTTTTGAGAACACATTAACTTTATTAAGAAAACGTTTGTATAGGAGAAATGTGGGTATGTGTACTTTCATATTTTATTTCAAAGATTTATATTCTAAATTACTAAAAATCTTGAGATAATAGTTTATCTTTAAAATAGCCTTCATACTTTAGTTGTGCTTCACCTTTTTTTTTTTTCTTTTCTTTTCTTTTTAAAAGACAGGATCTTGGGCTGGGGTTTGGCTCAGTAGTTCTGCCCCTGCCTTGCAAGTACAAGGACCTGAGTTCGATCCCCGGTACCAAAAAAAAAAAAAAAAGACAGGATCTTGCTGTGCAGTTCAGGTGGGCCTTGAATTCACTAGGTAGCCCAGGCTGGCCCTGAGTTCATGGCAATCCTCCTACCTCAGCCTCTTGAGTGCTAGGGTTACAGGCATGTGCCACCACACGTGGCTTCATCTTTTATTTTCTTTGGTACGGGGAATCGAACTCAGAAACTTGTGTTTGGGAGGCAGGCATAGTGCCACTGAACTAAATCCCTGGCCCTTTCATCTTTTATTTTCAAAAACAAATTTTATGAAAAGTTTTACTTTTGTACACTCTTTCAAATACATTGTTATGCAGTTAGTACTAATATTCTAGAATTGATATTTGTCAAAATAATGGTTTGTCTTGTAATTTCTATAAACTTCTTTTTTTTCCCCCCTGAGGTACTAGGGATTGACACCAGAGCTTTTGCACTGAGCTACATCTCAGACCCTTATTTTATTTTACTTTATTTTTTATTCTGAGACAGTACTATTGCTAAATTGCCCAGGCTGGGCTGGAATTTGTGGTCCTCCTGCTCCTACTGTGCTAAGATTATAGGTATGTACCACCGTAACTGGCTCTATAAACATTTTTTAAATGAAACTTTCTATGTGTTTGTGTGTGGGTATAGGTGTGTGGGTGTATGTCCTGGGAATTGAACTAACTCAGGCCCTTGCACTTGCCAGGCAGGCATGGTGCCACTGAACTACATCCCTAGTCCCTGAAACATTGTTTTAAAACATAATTTTTTGAAAACATGTTAGGAAGAAGGTAAAGCACTATCATTCTAAGTAAAAGCTCCTAATAGCCTTTTAAAAGTATTGCTGGGCGTGATGGTGCACGCCTGTGATCCCAGCACTTGGGAGGTTGGGAGGCTGAGGCAGGAGGATTGCTGCAAGTTCAAGACCAGCCTGGACTACACAATGAGTTCCAGAGCAGTCTGCACTACATAGTGAGACCCTGTCTCAAAAAAACAAAACAAAACAAAAAAGTATTAATGTATTGAATCTCGAGTCATTCTGAAATATGAAGCTATAATTCTTCCCTTTATAATATTTTTAAAATAATTTATGTTTACTTATAAGATGAAGTCTGACCTTGCCTAGTTTGGCTTTGAACTCTTGGCCTAACCAATGTCTTCCTGTCTCAGCCTTCTCTGACTAGCTGGGACTACAAGCATGTGCCTCCATGCCTGACTTTTCTTTATATTATAGTAGATTTAATGTTTTATTCAGATGTGAGTGTTGTAGTTTTAACTTGTGCTTGGTGAGTACTGATTTTCATTCTCTCTTAAATACGAAAATCATCGACAATGTTTTGTAAGTTTTAATGTTTATAAATATTGTTGGTTAATTTGTCAGAATCACTGTTCAGTTTTTTTCCTCATATCTTGGAATGATTGTTTAATGGAATAAGCAATTCATATAATGTGTCTTCTTTAGTGTACGCTAATAATTACCTCTGTCTTCTGAAGTGTGGCATAAGAAATCCTGTGTTATTATTGGGCTCATAGTTATAAATGCAAACATGATGTTGTAATTATTTGGTTTGGTTTTTATTTCTGGAGAGCATTCATTATAGAATTGCTACTGCTGAAGTTTATTTGTATGTTATCTAAAAAATAACCGTAGTTAAACTGAAATCTTTGTAAAACCACTGAGGACATATTTTATTTAAGAAAACAAACTTACTGATGAAAACAGGGTCCTAAACTCTCAGTTCAGGATTAGTAAACTGTAGCTGTGGGCTAAACCCAGCCTACTCCCTATTTTCTTAAGGCTCTTGAGCTAAGAATGGTTTTTACAGATGAAGATTTGCAGTCATTTTGAAAATAAGGAATGCTGACTTTGAGATTCAGGTAAGCAAAATGCTATCCCCAAATAAGGAAAAAAATTTTTTTCACCATTAAATCTATATTACAAAAAATTATACTCAGTTGTTATTTATTATATTTTTATTTTATCAGTAAAATATGTAGGAATTTATATATTCAGTTTTTATCTCTTGCTCACAAGAGTTTAAAAGACAGCTCATTAGCTGGGCGTGGTGTTGCACACCTGTAATCCCATCACTCAGGAGCCTGAGGCAGGAGGATCACTGCAAAGTTGAGGCTAGCCTGGTGAGGCCCTGTCTCAAGAAATCAAAACAAAACAGAACAAAAAAGAGTTTAGGGGATTGTTTTATTTAAAAGCACTAGTAGTGTGTTTAAGAATCATTTGAAGAAAGCAGGTAACAAAGCAATAGGTACAACGTTTTTTATATGTGTCCTTATGCAAAAGGACTAAACAGAGGCAAGGATTGCTTAGAAGTTAGGAACTGCACCTAGGGATTTAGCTCAGTGGTTCTACCGCCTGCCTCGCAAGTGCGAGGAGCTGAGTTCGGTCCCCAGTACCAAGAAAACAAAAAAGAAGTTAGGAACTGCAGATTTAAATCCCAGGGGTACCGTTTCTTACTCTTGTTACCTTCTAGAAGTTACTTTTTTTTTTTTTTTTTTTTTTGGTACTGGGGATCAAACTCAGGACCTTGTGTTTGCAAAGCAAGCAGCCGGACCACTGAGCTAAATCCCTGGCCCTAAAAGTTACTTCTTAAGAGTCTCATTATCTCTATCTATAAAGTGGGTTTTTGTAAATTACACCATGTTTGCAGTACATAGTGATTACTTTTATTGTGGAGAGTTGCCACACGTATAATGCATCTTTTAAGAGTGGGGATATTTAAATGTACACTCAGAGCTCTTCTGGAAGGAGTGAAGTTGGTACTTGTGAAGCACAGTGCCCCAGAATATAGGGCTCTGAGTAAGTGCTGCTGCTGCCTTTATAATGAAGAAAAGCGCCATATAGGAGGTGGCTGTCATTGAGTGGCAGGATTACTGATTGTTTTTAATATGTTATGTATGTATATTTTCTAATTGAACATACATTATGTAGTAAGATGTTTTATAAAATATCAACTCAGAATTTTTAACTTTTTTAAAAGCATTATTTCATTTAAGACATAAACAGTTAAAAAAAAAAGACAGTGAATTTGGCTTTCAGGTATCTGCAGTCAATGTGTTTCTCATCTATGTTGTTTTTTCCTGTAGACATGGCCCCAGGGCATGGGCATGTACAGGAACATGGTCACAGCAAGCTGGAGCTACCTGATTACAGACAATGGAGAATCGAGGGGACCCCATTAGAAACTATCCAGAAGAAGCTGGCTGCACAGGGACTCAGGGATCCATGGGGCCGGTAAGATGAGCTAAGTGATGTAGGTAGAATTTATTATACCTGTGTGTTCTTTGTTTTTGTTTTTGTTCTTGCAGTACTGGATATTGAACCTAGGGTCTTCTTGCTGAGCTACATCCCTAACGTGTGTGTGTGTGTGTGTGTGTGTGTGTATTACCAGGGATGAAACTCAGGACCTTGCACTTGCAAGGCAAGCACAATGCCACTGAGCTGAATCCCCAGCCCAGTAATTTGTGAGGGTCTGGAGATCATCAGTGAGAGGAAGTGGATTTATTTATTTATTTATTTATTTATTTTATTTTGGTACCAGGGATTGGTACCTTGTGCTTGTGAGGCAGGCAGTAGCACCACTGAGTTAAATCCCCAGCCCTGTAATTTTGAGACAACATCCCACTAAGTTGCACTAAGTTACCCAGGCTGAGTTTAAACTTGCAGTCCTCTTGCCTCAGCCCCCTAGAGTGCTGGGATTATAGATGTGCATCTCTGTATGTCCTTTCTTAATACATTCTCCTTAACGAATCATAGAAAATGACCCTTTTTTTTTTTGTATCAGGGATTGAACTCAGTACCTCGTGCTTGAGAGGCAGGCAGCAGGACCACTGAGCTAAATCCCCAGCCGAGAAAATGACATAACGTAAAGTTTTAAATCAGCTTTATTAGGCTGAGGATTTAGCTCAGTGGTGCCACAAGCACCAGGTCCTAAGTTCAATCCCCGTAACAAAAACAAAAAAAAGGAACTAGAACATAAGTCAGCTTTATTGAAGTATCATTTACATATAGAAAAATTGATCCATTTAAAAATTTTACCATTGTTATTCCATTAGTTTTGATAAATACACAGTTAGGTAAGTGCCACCAAAATATAATGCAGAATATTTCTATCATCCAGAAAATGTTCTCTTTCACCCATTTTTGTTGTTGTTTCTGTTTTTGTTTTTTTGAGGTGGCATCTTGCTAAGTAGCCCAGGCTGGCCTTGAACTCAGGCAGTTCTGCCTGAGTGCTGGGATTACAGGTGTGCACCACCACACCCAGTTCTTTACTTTTTTAATGCTGTGTGATCTTCAGCAGTCCAGCTCCTGGCTGCCTTTGTTCTGCTTTTGTCTCTAAAATGTTTGCAGTCAGAATCATAGAATGTAGTATTTTTCTGTGGTCTCTTTCTGTTATCATGATGCTTGTGTCTGTGGTTCTCCTTTTCACGGCCGCCTTATTTTATACCCGCTGTGTGGACAGGCCCACCAGACTGTTGGCCACTGATGGTCAGTGATGGTTTGGGCTTTTCTAGCTTTGGCTGTTAGGATGAAGTTGTTACAACCATTTAAGCACAGATCTATACACTTTCCTTTCTCTTAGGGAAACACTTAAATATAGGATTTCTGGACTATATAATAAATGTATGATTATCTTTTATAAAATGCTGCAAAGTTTTCCAGCCTGACTACCATTTTCCATTCCCATCAGCAATATGATAGTTTCTGTTGCTTAATGTCCTCATCTGTACTGAAGAAAAATAAAAACTACAGGGCTGGGGGTCTGGGAATTTAGCTCAGTGGTGCCACCCACTGCCTTGCAAATGCAAGGTCCCAAGTTCAATCTGCAGTACCAAAAAAAAAACCCAACCCTAAAAATTACAAATTTTATAGACTGACTCTATCCCACAACCTTGCTAAATTCACATTGTAGCTCTAGTTTTTCTGTAGATTGCCTAGAATTTTCATCATAAATAATCATTTTCTCTGCAAAGACAGTATTCCTCCTTACTTTCAATCTGTTTTGTTTTTTTTTCGGTTTTTATTTTTGTAGCAGGGTCTTGCTGTGTAGTTCAGGCTAGTCTTGAGCTCACTGTGTAGCCTGGGCTAGCCTCAACCCTCAGCATTCCTTCCTCAACCTCCAAGTGCTGGGATTACAGGTGTTTATCACCATGCCCAGCTGTCTGTAACCTTATTTTTCTTGCATTGGTTACACAGGTTAACACTGCTATATGATATTAAGTTAAATTGTGAAAGTATCGCTTCTCTGTCTTTTGGCTAAGATCAAGTGTAAAAAAACGAAAGCCTTGTTCCTAGCTGAGGGGAAGCACCCAGCCTGTTTCCACCATATAAGTGTGTATGTTTTAGGATTTGTGTAGATGACATTCAAGATGAAGAGTTTCTCTGCTATTCCTAGGTTAATGAGCGTTTTCTTCATTTGGTTTTTTTTTTTTTTTTTTTTTTTTTTTTTTTTTTTTTTTTTTTGGTACCGGCGATCGAACTCAGGTCCTTGTGCTTGTGAGGCAGGCGCCGGAACCACTGAGCTAAATCCTTGGCATTGGTTTTGTTTCATTTTGTTCTGTTTTGCTTTGTTGAGACAGCCTTGCTGTGTTGCCCAGGATGACCCTGAACAACTGAGCTTAAATGATCTTCCTTCCTCAGCATCCTGAATATCTTGGGCCTTTAGGTGCTTGCCACTTTCCCCAGCTCTTGTTTTTTATTGTTAATGATTGTTGAATTTCATTACATGCTCTTCATCTACTAAAATGCTCACATAGTTTTTCCTTTTTATTCTGTTCATATGTTGATTTTCAAACATTAAACTAATCTTGCATTCCTGGGGTTAGCCCTACTTCATTATAATGCATCATCTTTTTTATTGCTGGATTCAGTATTCTAAATATTTGTAAAGAATATTTGCATCTATGTTCATGAGGGATATTACTCTGTCATCTTTTTCCTGACACCATTATCTGTGGGAGGAGACTTTTTTTTTTTTTTTTTTTTTGAGACAGGGTCTCATTGTCCTGGAACTTACTATGTAGCCCAGGCTGGTCTCCAACTTGCAAGCAATCCTCCTTCCTCAGCCTCCCAAGTGCTGGGATTACAGGCGTGCACCACCACACCTGGCTGGGAGGAAACTTTTACCTTCAGCTCTCTAACTTCTGTTTACTTCTTTGTTGAGGGCACTTAGAATTATTACCGAAGCAGGAAATCGTTCTTCTGAAGGAAAGCTGTGATACTCTTCCTAGTAATAATGGTAACAAATGTTATGCTATCCTATGCCAGAATAGGTGAGGTTAGTGTGTTTCACCTTTCTAATCTTGAGAGACAGACACTGACGTGGTAGAGCTGAAGAGGACACAGACCCCAGCAGCCTCAGGCTGTGTCTCTAAACTCCACAGAGGTGAATGCAGGTGAATCCCAGCCTCCAAAGCTCCTCCCTCTATGGGGGCACACCAATACACTATGCATTTGAAAACTGGGACTGAGAAACATGGTCAGTGTGAAACTTCTCTGTGAAACTTGGTCGCATACTCTTAATTATCCTGAACCACAGATTCTTATGTGCTACTTGGATGATCTTATGTGATGTAATATTTGAGTCTATTAGACGAAAGTTAGATGTACTGAAAGGTTGTACCCTAATTATGTGTGATTGTAAGCTTTCCTGTTTTTTTTCCTTCTAGCAATGAAGCTTGGAGATACATGGGTGGCTTTGCAAACAACGTTTCCTTTGCTGGTGCACTCCTGAAAGGGTTCAAGTGGGGATTTGCGGCATTTGTGGTGGCTGTTGGGGCTGAATATTACCTGGAGTCCCTGGATAAGGAGAAGAAGCATCACTGAGGAGGGTACCCGGAAGTATCCTAGTGACTTCTTAACTTGTGAAAGTAAGGTTTCTCCGCTGTAGCCGAGTTATCTGTGTGTGTCCCTTAGAGAATGCTGGTTAGCGCAAATAAAGAAAACACATGCCAGTCTGTTTTGAAATTCTTTTAAGTAAAAAGCACCTCTCAGGCCATATCTGAAGGAAGGCTCAGGCAGGTACCAGACACACTGTGTCTGCATGAGCAGCCCCAGCAGCATCATGGGCCCAGCTGGCAACGTCTGCGTCCTGGCCAGCACCAGGAAGGGTGGCCCTGTACACAGATCTGAGGGACCTGGTTTCCATGCAGGAACACTTCTGTCCGGTTTTGGTCCACACATCCATGGGTCACGTTCACTTTTCTTGCAATTTTTTCTAGTCTTGCCTTAGTCCGTAATGTACCCATATCATGAAAACTTGTCCTTCTTTGAGGCAGGGTCTGTCTGTGTAGTTCAGGGTGGTCTTGAACTCACTCTGTAGTCCAGGCTGGCCTCAAACTCACAGTAATCCTTTTGCCTCAGCCTACCAAGTGTTGGAATTACACGCCCAGTTCTTTATTTCTAACAGTGAGTAAGATATTCTCCATTATCATTGACTTTTAATTTTTTAATTACATCTATAAATTAAGATGTAAAGGTCAGGTGTGTTACATACCTGTAATCCCAGCACTCAGGAAGCAGAGGCAGGAGGATCACTGAGAGTTCAAGGCCAGCCTGAGCTACATAATGAGTTTGGGGCCAGCCTGAACTACAAAGCGAGACCCTGTCTCAAAAAGCAAAAACAAAATAAAAAAAAGATCTAAAACTCAACTTGTTGAGGAGGGGTAATTTGCTAAATCACCTAAATTCTAGGGTGATTTTTTTTCTTGAAATTCATTGTTTATAAATATTAAGTCAATGAGACAGGAATCTGATAAGCTGATAATAATAAATAGAATATGGTAAAATGGAATTATGTAGAAGACTCATTACATAAAGAAGGAAATTAAAAGGAAAAAAAATTGGGACCAATGGAAATAATGTGATTAAATTTAACTGGAGTTGGATGTGGTGGCACATGCCTGTAATCCCAGCACTCAGGAGGCTGAGGCAGGAGGACTGCTGTGAGTTCAAGACTAGCCTGGGCTACATAGTTCCAGGTCAGTCTCCACTACATAGTGAAATCATGTCTCAAAAAGCAAAAAAAAAAAAAAGAAAAAAAAAAACCTCCCCCCAAATTAAACAACTGATACTGATAATTAAATATAAATTTTAGAACAAAGACTATTATAAAAAGACATTTCACAATACTAGAGTGATTTATTCAATACATTTATGATGGAAATCTTACAAGGTATGTACTTAGACCCAAGGAAATCAGGCTAATAACATCTGAAAAATCCACAAATAACCTAGAAATTGGACTACACACTTGTAAATATCCCTTACTCAGAAAAAAAGCTAGTGGACCTGGGATTCAGCTCAGCAGTTCTGCGTCTGCCTCCACAAGCACAAGGTCCTGAGTTCGAACCTCTCACAAAGGGCCAGGGATTTAGCACACTGGCTGCCTCACAAGTGAGTTCAGCCAGTACTGAAGGGGGGAAATTTTTTTAAAACAAAACAAGCCTAGGAAAAGTAAAAAATATTTTTAGCCGTATAAAGATGAAAGCACAAAATCTAAAATTTGAGAGCTGCAGCTAAGATTGACCTCATCACATTTAAGAGGAAAAGACAGTAGCAACACTGGTGAGGAAAGGACGGCAGGCAGATCCTGGATGTGTTAACATGAAGGCATTTTACAGCAGCTGCCGATGCGTGTGAAGGTCTGCGGGTAGAGGGGCTCCCGGGACACGCTGCTGGGCCTGGTGCAGCCCAGTGGCAGAGCACCTGCCTAGCACGTGAGGCCCTTGCTTGGTCCCAGCGCCACCAAAACAGGACTGGAAAACCTGCCAATGCAGTCACCTGAGTAGCTATATACCTACCTTAAAATTTTAGCTTTTGGTTAATTGTGAACTTGCTGGGTCAGGTGGGGTAAGGAGTGCAGTACTTGATACATTTAAAGTAGAAGATGAACCCAGGTCCGACTGAGCCCCACAAGCCCCTGTGTGACACAACCTTCACGCTGTGCCTGCTGAATGCTACGGGTGCTGTCAGATCCCACTAGCCCAGACCCCTCACTTGGTTATCGGAAAATATCTCTGTAAATAGTTTCAAGAAGCCTTCACCGTGCCTGCTTCACTTGGAGAAAAAGTTAGCCCCATGCCTCCCACTCCCCTCCCGGGCAGTTGGGAACAGAAAATGAGAAGAAAAACAAGATGTTCTGTGTAGATAAGGAGGACACCTTGACCTCTCCTCGACTAGCCCCCTCCCCAGCCCCTCCCTTTCGCAAGTACCCCAGCAACACCCAATAGGAATAAGAAGTAAAAGGTAGCACCAATGAGAAAGAGGATTTCAAGCCTCCCAAACCCTATAAAATCATGCCTTAGAAGGGGGTCAGGGCTCTTGTTTCTGATCCGCTAGTCGGGGAGGTACGAGGGTCCAGGCTCGAGCTTGCAATAAACTCCTCGTGCATTTACATCAGACTCGAATCCTTGGTCGTCTTTGGGGACTTCGCGATCTGGGCACAACACATAGTGAGACCCTGCCTCAAAAATATAAAAGCCTAAATCACAGGTTGCGATTTAATTTTTCCTCACAATCTCCTGTTGTCATCAAAACTAGCATTCAAGGAACTCGCAGATCTTTAGTGTTTTATAAATGTGCTGTTTATAATGTACAACCTTAGTAGTTTAGTAACAAAAAAATTGAGTTATTCAGGGTTGGCCTCATGCAGTTGGCAATGTGGATTTCAGAAGTCGATGTGCTGCTGGGCATGGTGGCTCACGCCTGTAATCCCAGCACTGAGGAGGCCGAAGCAAGAGGATCTCGGCCAGCCTGGGCTACCCAGTGTATTCAAGGCCAGCCTGGGCTACATAGCAAGATACTGTCTCAAAAAACAAACAAACAGAAGTTGATGTGCTCCCAGACTTCAGAGCACCAAGGTTCATGAGTGGAATCCCCCACCCCCACCCTGTGAGTCCTGCTTCACTTCAGCATCAGTTTGGGTGGGAAAAGTGACTTTTTTCTTTTGTTTTTGTTTGTTTTGTTTAGGGCCAGAAAATCAGTGTCAGAAACTCAGAGACTGGAACCTCCTGTGGAAATTGAATTCCCTTGCATCACAGTCTATAAGAAAGGACCTACTGCAAAGAGAAATTTTATTTTAAATTTATATGTCATAGATAAAATTTATTACATATTTTGTTTACATATATATTATAAACATACACAATTCAAAATGCTGTTGTTTAATATGAGACTGAATTACCTTTGATTTTTAAAAATGTGTTTTATTTTTTGACTTTTGAGACAGGGTCTCACTACATAACATAGGGCTGCCCTTGAACTCACCATGTAGCCCAGGCTGGTGTGTCCTGTTGCCTCAGCCTCCCAAGTTCTGAGATTACAGGCTTGTGCCACCACACCTGGCATTGAATTTCCTTTGATACATTTAAACAATGTAAAATGTGGCTTTAGCAGTTAAAAAAATGAAAACAAAACCTCCACGTCTCAGGTCCGCTTAGCTTTCTGGTTAATTGCACATGCGACAGAGTGAATGAAGCAGCCTTTCGGGTACCTGCAAATTACTAAACTCACTGGGCAGAATGTTGGTTGTTGCTAAAGACTTTTGTTTCTGGACCTGCACATTACAACATAAGAACATCGCGAACATTTAAGATGTAAACCAGCTGTTTGTAGTGGTGACACCTGTAATCCCAGCACCCAGGAGGCTGAGGCCAGAGGGTCACCGCGAGTTTGAGAGTTCAAGGCCAGGCTGAGATAAATGGTGAGATCCTGTCTCAGCAAAAAAAAAAAAGACGTAAACCAGGAGGAGGCTTCATGCCATTTGAAAAATCACATATTTTCATTTTGTCTTTTAAAACTAAAAGACTAGGGGCCAGGGATTTAGTTCAGTGGTTCTGCCACTTACCTCCCAAGCACAAGGACCTGTGTTCAATCCCTGGTACAAAAAACAAAACAAAACAAAACAAAAAACTAAAAGAATAGTTGTTACGGACGATAGAACCTGGAGCCGTGTGCACATATGCTTAGCAAAATCTCTACCACTGAGCTACATCCTCACTCCTGAATTTATTTATTGGTTTGTTTGTTTATTACAGTATGGAGATTAGGCTACCCAGATCTTTTTATTTATTTATTTAATTCTGAGACAGGAACCTGCTAAATTGCTAAGTAGCCTGGGCTGAGGTCAAACTTACAATCTTCTTGCCTCAGCCTCCCAGAGTGCATAGGCCACCACATGTAGCTCAGAATAATTCTTAACAATGCACCTAACAGTGTCCCTAAAAACAATTTATGGCTATGAAGAAGTATTTTGCTTTTAGATTTTTAAACTATAGCTCATATATATATACACATATATATACATATATATGTGTATATATATATGTGTATATATATATATATGTATATATATGTATGTATGTGTATATATATGTATGTATGTGTATATATATATATGTATGTATATATATTTGTGTGTATGTGTCTTTTCAGTTTTTTTTCTTTTATTGAGTTTATTGGTACATTTTAGGTATGCAGTACAGTTACATTCATTATTGGGATCTTGTACCTTTACATGACAGGTGGTCTTGATTCTCATTTTTTCCCCTTGTCCTTGCCCTCCCTTCACCCCCTCCTCCCCTCCCCATTTACAAACACTTTATCTCCATTTTTTCATTTTCTCATATTTTTTCCCTTATTACCTTTCCCCTACCCTTCCCACTTTGCCTACACCTTTAGCCCTTTTCTTCCCATTTCACATTGTCGGCTATCTCATTAAGATCTTATGTACTATTATACTTTATTCACTCCAGAGAAACTATTTGGTATTTACACATGTGTGACTTATTTATTTCACTTAGGAGTATATCCTTAATATGTATCCATTTTCCTATGAATATCAAAAGCCATCCTAGGCAACAGACACATGGCAGCGGGTATAACAATTCCCATTTTGAAACTATACTACAAAGCCACTGTGATAAAAACAGCATGGTACTGGCAAAGAAACAGACCT